AACTTCTGATGTATGGACAGCATCTACTTCTGAGGGCTATATTTGTTTAACTGCTCACTTTGTTAATGAAAATTGGAAGTTATGTGACAAGTTACTCAACTTTTGTCGTATGCCTCCCTCACACACTGGAGTTGAATTAGCTGCCACTGTATTTGATTGTTTGAAAGAATGTAGAATAGATAAAAAAGTTTTCTCTCTTACTCTAGATAATGCTTTTACTAAGGATAACATGCAAGTTATCTTGAAATGTCATCTTCATTTGCAAAGTAGCTTGATTTGTGATTGTGAATTTTTTCATGTATGTTGTTGTGCTCATATATTAAATCTTATTGTTCAAGAGGGCTTGAAAGTAGTCAATAAAGCATTGCAAAGTAGCCATCCAACGAGGACTTGGAGACATCATTGTTGTCCAAAGAAGACTCAAATGTTTTGATTAAGGATGAAGATCGAGAAAAACATTACTTAGTCTTGAAGTTTATGAATATTTGATTAAGTATTTATGTAGTTATGTTGATGGGATTGTAATTTGTGTAATTGTGTTAAAGATTAAAAATTTGAAATTTTATTTATATTTGATGTAATGTATTTACTTATTTATTTTTAGTGTAATTTATTTGTTTGTAATATGTTTTTATTATTTAATTTATGAACTAAACCATAGTATAATTATATACTTGTATTGATGAGTAGTAGAAATAATTTTTTTTGAAAATAATGGGTTACCCTTGCCCGGCTCATGGGTTAGCAAGAGGTGGGCTGGGTTGAGAATTTTGTAGTCCATATAAAATATGGACTGATCCGACCCGATTCATATTTTTTCAACCCACAAAATCTAGGGCCGGCCGGACCGGCCCATATTGACAGGGCTACTTACAGCATATCTTTTATAAGGGCCCGATTGCTCACCGCCCTCGCTCAACCACGTCATTAAATGTTTTTAGTGAAAGCTACAACAGGATCCAGATTCTTTATTCTTATCAGTAATAATAGTTCCATAAAAACAAATTTAAAAATAAATTAAATTGCAAAAATTTCAATATTCTCCTCCGCTTTTCATCTTTTTAAATTTTCACCCCCCAACAAACTATTAAAAATCAAAAGAGGAAAACTGGAACAGCCTTTTTTTTGTTAGCACTCAATGGACTCGAGCTCCAGCTGCAAGTCGCCAGCTCGATTCACCCTGGGGAAGCAATCCTCTCTAGCGCCGGACCGGGAAGGTTCGGCTGGCGAAGCCATAGAGGCGGACATAGACCCGAGGGTGACACTAATGTACATGGCTAACGAAGGGGACTTGGAAGGAATTAAGGGGCTGTTGGACTCTGGCACCAATGTCAACTTCAAAGACATCGACGGTCGGACCGCCCTCCACGTCGCCGCTTGCCAGGGCCTTACAGACGTCGTCCAATTGCTGCTTGATCGCGGTGCAGACGTCGACGGCAGAGACCGCTGGGGCAGCACTGTAATTCTCTCTTTTTTTTTCTTGTTAAATTCTTTTTCTTTACGTAATAAGGTTCTGTTGCTTATTATTTTGCTACTTGCAAAAAATTGCTATAAATAAAAAAAAACTAATAGAAAGTTAAATTACTATTGATAAAAAGCAAACAAATGACAAAAAGCAATAACTAGAATTGTTCCTTCTAAAAGTGAAATCATGCATTTTATTATTCAATAAGTTTTATTTTTAACATTTCAAAATTATGTTTACTTTTGCATCCCAACCAAACACATTACTTGCTTTTCGCTTTGATAGCAAAAGCAATGATCAAAAAGTAAAAAGTGTTCATTTTGGGAGAATCATTGAAATGAGCATTATTTGGTTAATGTTGTGCATTAAAGATAAATAAAAATATTGAATGGATGATTTTGTTTAAACAGCCACTTGCTGATGCGGTGTACTATAAGAACCAAGACGTGATCAAGCTTTTGGAGAAGCATGGTGCGAAGTCTCCGGTATTTAATTAACTGTGTTCTTGCCGCTAATGATATTTGCTTTGATTTGTTAAGTTTGCTTTTACACTATCAAGTGTAGCTTCATGATTAAATGTCTTTATATTTTTTTTGGGCAAATTCTGGGATTTTAGATAGCCCCAATGCATGTTCAAAATTCTCGTGAAGTGCCAGAGTATGAGATTGATCCTAGTGAGCTTGATTTTTCTAACAGTGTCCATATCACAAAGGTAATTTTAAACCTTATTCTCTTCTCTGTCTATGGCTGTAATTTACCATTTGCTGAATTGTGATATCACTTTTGGTTACCTTTTACCATTGTTTACATTATCATTGTACTTGCGGTAAGAAGTACATTTTTATGTTTGCATGCTAGCTTAAGGTATTAAGTTTCATCTTTGTCCAGAAACTATAGTACATTTTCCGTTTATGCGCACACCGGAATGACATTGTTCGGCTTCTAATGGGATAAGACATGTAGACCATTACAATTCTAACACAGTTGGTCTATGCATATTTGTGTTCAAACTTGAAAAACAATTCTCCTATAGCTAAGTCACTTGGGAGACTTGAATGCACAAGCTTCCCCCTCTTTTTGTAGGGGGTACTATGTCTATCAGGATCAATCATGCCATCTCACTAATTATTAATTGGTAAATTTTATCATAGGGAACATTTCGCGTAGCATCTTGGCGGGGCATTAAAGTTGCTGTTAAAACCCTTGGAGAGGAAGTTTTTACTGATGAGGACAAAGTGTGGGTTGGTTTTATATCATTTGTGATTTTCTTTCTTTGTTTAAGTTTTGGTGCATTATCCCCAGTTTGTTTGTGTCAAATCTAATTTGCGATTTAATGTTCTTGATTACTCTAGTCTCTGAGGTTTTGACATGTTGTTGGAATTTCAGTAAGGCATTCAGGGATGAGCTTACATTGCTTCAGCAGATACGCCATCCAAATGTTGTCCAATTTTTGGGTGCTGTAACCCAAAGCTGTCCGATGATAATTGTTACAGAATACTTACCTAAGGTTTGATCTTGTTCTGCACTTGCTACAACAGTGATAAGTTTGTTTCAGTTTGTCTTTTCTTTTTAATGCTTATATGGTCCATTGGCATTTGGCTCTTTGCCCTGAACCCTTAAAAAAAGATTGATGTACATTGCTATCGTTATATATTCATGAACTTTGTTGTTAGGTACATTGGTTATTTTCATAGTTTACTTGATTTAAATAAAGGAAAAAATATATTAGTGTTTTTTATATGGTTTTGTTAGTGTAGAACTTAGTATGGAATTCCCATGGAGAGATTAATGAAATATAACATTATTAAGAAAATAGTGAACTTTATTTTTTCATTGCTATTCTCGTAGCAATGCCTTTTAACCTATTCATCTTTTTCATTTAATAGTGTATAAATGTATGGTGGAGTCATTCTTGGTATACCACAAAGCAAATCACCATTGTGACTTTGCAAATCAGTAATTTGTGAAGTGAAGCATAAGTTAAAGTTACACCTAAATTCTTAAAGTAGTTTTGGTAATTTTGGCATGGCCTTTGGGACATTTCTCTTGACCAACAAGCTACTTGTTTGATATTTGTTCAATTGCAACCAGTGCTAGGCCCATATGAAATATGGTTATATCCAGGCTAAAAATTTCAGTATCACATAGAGATATTCATCCTTTCTTTTTTTAGTTATCTCATAGCCCTTATTCTACTGCATACAGTTCTTTAATACTTGTCTGCCCACTTTCAAAAGATGTACACTTTTGTATTATGATGAGTATATGCTTGAGATTTCAAGCCCACAGACATGTTCACATGCTTGTGATTTATTTCTAGATATTCTGAAGCTGCTGCATCTGTACTAAAGTAGAACCATATGTCATAATTCATTGTTAGAAAAGCCCTAGGTTAAGAAGCATCTAACTTAAGTTGCTAAGTTTGACATTCCGCCCCCTAGAATCCAACCTTTCTGGAAGAAAATGGCTGAATGTTGAATGTCAAAAACTTTGATGTCCAGCAATAGTAATAGGATATCCAAACTTTTATGATACCTGTTTTGGGGCCATTACGTGAAATTTCTATTAAATTTTTTATTTTTTGCGCTAAGCCTTTGTAGATTCCCTCCTCTTCAAGAGGGAGGAGAATTTCCAACTCCAGTCGGCATATTAGAGTACCATATATGTATAATTACTACATATTTGAGATTACTAGTTTAAACAATATAAGGGAGTAGAAAATGCTCTCATTTAATTTGCTGGTAGTCTCTCATGATCTCCCAAGGCAAGGACACTCTTCTTTCTGTTCTTTACCCCTTGCAGTGCATTGTAGGCTGTAGGAAAATTAGAATAAGAGAAATTGGGAAAGGAATTACTTTTGGTTCTGGGACCAATGACTAATGTCTTCATTTTTGTGAAAGAATAATAATTAATCTTGTCTGGTTATTTACTTTTGCATATTTAATATTCATTGATCTTTTGTACCACATCAAGTATACATATAAGCATTTTCTTTCATGTACTTTTTTTGCAGGGAGATTTTCGAGCATATTTGAAGCATAAAGGCGCATTAAAGCAAACAACTGCTGTTAAGTTTGCACTAGATATTGCTAGGTTGGTTTGGTGGCTGGGAATTTGTTTATGAGTTTCTTATTGGCTGGTGTCTCTCGCTAGTTTCACAGAGTTTCCTATTAATCAGCATTTTTATGTGCATATTATTACATCATCTTTTCATTCAATGGAGTTTGTTTTCAATTGGAATTTCCAAGTCCAAGCTTTTTATAATTGTTGGGATTAAATTTCGTGGATGCCTTTTGGGGTTAAGCATATGGCAGAAACTTCTCTTCAAATTTCTATCAAGCATGTGAAGTGAGTGTTTAACTAAAGTTTAAATCATTTTACATGAACCATGCATTATTAGGTGGAAAGGATTATGCTGAGATGGTGTTGGTATTTCAGTGAATTATGTTAGGATTAGTTGGTGGTAGCAAAGTTGTTTGTAATCTGATGAACATGAAGATGATGAAAGAGATTGTAAGAATGGATCACTATAACTGACTTGCAGTGTAGCACAGATTTGTGATTGAAAAATGTTTGCTAATGCAATATGCAATTAATTAATGGCTGGGAAAAGGAATTATTTGCAAGATAAATTATGCAGAAATGGGGAAAACTTGGTAAATAAAAGTTTCAGTAATCATGTAAAAGATAACTTTAGATGGTTTTGAATGTCATTAAATATACAAAACTAGTAAGATTTCTAAATTGTTGCTGTGATATTGTAGAAACAGAAAAAGATGGTGGATTGCAACAACATCTACTAAATTTCTCTGCTCCACGTTTTGGCTGATTGTGGATGATGATTCTTTAAGGAATATGGAATTAGCAAAAAATTGTTGTCTTGCCGTTGGGTTAAAAGGATTCCTTGGGCAAGCCCTTTTTTTTTTTCCTTCAAATTTTGAAAAATTTTACCCAACTGTATGTCAATTGATTATTACCTGTTTCATTCTAATGATTTACCGGTACCTCAATAAAATGCCACTATCTATTTCAGGGGAATGAATTATTTGCACGGGCACAAACCTGAAGCAATAATTCATCGGGATCTTGAGCCTTCGTAGGTCTTCCTCCTTAAATATATTTTCTGGTTACCCTAATTTTTATCATTACTTTTCAGTCATGGAACATGCATTATTAATACCCAAATGGGTAAAATTACTGAAAGCTTGTCGTTGTTTTACGAGTAAGATAACAGAAATATATTGCGCGATGATTCTGGGCATCTGAAAGTTGCAGACTTTGGAGTCAGCAAGCTACTCAAAGTTGCAAACATGGTTAAAGAAGACAGACCAGTGACATCTCAAGAGACTTCTTGTAAGTTTTCTGCATTGGGGAAAACTCCGTTTCCTCCATTGTCATCTATTAGTACTAGGCAGGGTTGCTTGTGAATTACTGGACTAGCCTTTTGTTTTGGCCTTTGTTGAGAAAGCCAGAGGCGGGCTAAGTGATTTGTGTTTTTGGTTCCTAATTAATGCTTTACGTTATCTGATTGTTTACTGGGAAAACATGTTAAGATCACAGCTAAATCTTTTTGTTTTCCATGCGGCTTTGCAGTTTGCTTAATTTGAATTAAAGTATTAAATGCCAAATATCCCTTCATTTTAATGGTAAAAATACATCATGATGTATCCATCCTTCTGAGCAGGGCGATATGTGGCACCAGAAGTTTATAGAAACGAAGAATATGATACTAAAGTGGATGTGTTTTCATTCGCTTTGATCTTACAAGAGGTTAGATTTTTTTTCTAACCCAAAAACTTATCTTGGAAGTTGCAATATTGCTAAAACATGTGTAACTATTAAGTTACACTTAGGGTGCAAGTGGTAGTCATGGAAACTGGCCCCAGCTCTGGGCAAAGAAAAATTATGTGATTTTTTGTTCTAAATTTATTAATTAGGCCTCTTATAGTTGAACTTGATAAGCAGGTTTCCTCTTCACCTTCTCAATTCATCTTCCGAAACTTTGAAACCTTCTACAATATATTTTAATTTAGGACTTGAGTTCAAAACTGCAATATTTTATTTAAATAAAAATTGCCTTTATGTGATGTCTAAGGTTAAAAGGAATATCAGAATTCAAAACTTAAAATGACAGGAATTTATAATCGCTTTTTGATTTTGATTTTGTTTGTTTATAAATCTTGCTTTGCATTTGGCAAAATCTTTCTTTGTGTTCATTTTATTTATAGATTGCTTTATTCGTGATGTCTTAGAGTAATATCTGATATTTACGTAGTGTAATGTTGATGGAAGAATTTTATATCCATATTGTGTTTTAACATTTGGAGTTAAAGAGAATTCAATCATGTCATGTGCAGAATTTCTAACATCAATAAACTCACAACTTTGGTCAATAACTTTTATGTTTACAAGGAGATCCGTTTGTCTTTGAAAGTTGGAATAGACATATATGTATATACATACATATATATGTGTGTGCATGTGTGCTTGTATCTATGTGTATGAACTTTCCCAATGCTTTATGTCTCCATCACTGCTGTTATTGTACATAAGGAATGAAATACGTTGGAGATATAGGCATATAGCCACTTGATCTTATATGGTTGAAAACCAAGTCCGTGATCACATTTTGTATCTGATGGGACAAATGTATTTGATACAGAAGTATATTACATTTAAATGCTTTTCTCATATGAATATGTGAATTTACTTTGCTATGCACAAAATCATTAAGGTTTTAATACAATTGTCTGAAAAAATTTGCTCTTATTGTTATATAATTTAAAACTCTAAACTAACTAAACTATGTCTAACTGTAATGAACTATACAACTACTAAGGCCCAGTTTGGTTGATACCTTTGCTATTTGCTTTTTGCTTTATATTTTTTTGGTAGAAAGCAAAAGGTAAATAGCAAAAGCATCAATCATATAGAGTTTAAATAAACTATTCTGTCTTTTTTTTATGGGCTAAATAAACTTTTCTAATCATAATAAGAAATTAAGTAACAGTAACAATCATAAAAATTTAATTTTATCTTATTTCTCACTGCAAGTATGAGTTTGTATGTGTGCGCTTGTCTGATTTAATAAATTGTTATTTGGAGCCTTCCCAGTTTATGCTCTCACTTTCAGGTTTTAGTATCTCTTTCTCTCTCTTCTTTTTCTTTTTTTTTGCATTGCACTTGATCCTAGTTGCATGCATAAGATCTATGGGGTGTTTTGGTTTTGTTATTTTATAAAGACTAACTGATACATGTAGATGTTGCAATAATATGTCATTTATCATTGGTCTAGATGATTGAAGGTTGTCTACCATTTCATTCAAAGCAAGAAAATGAAGTCCCTAAAGCATATGTTGCAAATGAGCGCCCACCATTTCGAGCTTCTGCAAAGTACTATTCTCATGGATTAAAGGAGTAAGTCCTTATGTGAACTCTATTTCTTTTCTTCTTCCTAAATCCCTTCTGAATGCGTGAATGAATTTACAAAGCCTTGTTGCCTCTTAAATAAGCATAATTTTATCTGCCATTATGTTTGACCTATATTTTATCTGAGCTCCAAAAATTTTTTAATAAGAAGGAAATTTACCTCTGCTTCTTGTCTACTTTCAATTTTCTACTTCTAGTGCTGCTGGCCTGCTATGAACATATTTATTAGAGTATCTACCTGGAGTTGTAGCTTGTCATGCGTAGTGGCTCTTGTTACCTCTCAGCTGGCCAGCATGGCCCGAATTCAATAAGATCCGAGAAACATGAAATTGATATCAATCAATCAAGATCTTGGATAGATATACCTTGGAAGAATCAAGACTGCTGAAACTTGGCCATGGGTTTGACGCCATTTGAGTTTGACTTCTTATATTGGAATTGCTCAGAGAGAAAAAAAAAAAAAAGAGGAGGGGGGGGGGGGGGGGGAGGGGGGGGGGGGGGGGTGTGACAGTGTGGAAGCAGAAAATAAAGTTCTATTTGTTTGTAAATCTTTATCTGAGTTGACCATGAATTCTTAAGAATGTTGCTTGTCAGCCATTTTTGTATTTCATCCAGCCACATGGCTTCCTGCTTAAAGTTCTTGAGCCTTAAATGTCCTATTGTACTTGTAACTCAGAAAAAGTAATAGAGGTGGCTATTTTATCCTTTCTCTTGTTTTATTTTTTCACGTAAATTTAGTGATAAGTTTTCAAAGCAAATCAAAGGCTCTTCCTAAGTCCTTAATGTTTTTTTCTTCTTTTTCTTGCTAAAGTAGATCCCTCATGTTTTCTGCAGGTTAATTGAGGAATGCTGGAGTGAGGAGCCAATCAAGAGACCACCATTTAGGCAGATAATTACAAGGCTGGATCACATAAGTAACCAACTTGCTCATAAGGGGCGTTGGAAGGTCTCATCTCTCTCTCTT